TATATATATATATTGATCTCACTTTTCTACTTTCTGCCACCAAATTAGTCCTTTTCACTACTCTATATCTGATAATATGTGAAAATATACACACATCTCAGCTTCATGGAATTTCACCTTAAGGACCTTATCCATACTTGCGCTAAAATTCACTAATCTGACATGTTTATTCACTAGCTCCAAATGGCTATCACTTGTTATAAGTTTGAATATTGATGATGAAATTTTTTGCATGCTTTAAATGTGACGAGCATGAATACCCCGTCATTCAAATGATTAAATTTGGCCATAAATCAACTACTATGATATCGACCAGTGGCCGGGTCATATCGCAATCTATATAATATGTAGTATCTTATCTTATCTTGTCGTTCGATTAATTTATTTATGTAGATAGACGTGCCCTTAAAGACCACAGGCAAAAGAATGTGTTGTTTCAATTAGTCCGGTTGGCCAGCCTCAATTGCAATTGTGCAATCTTATCTTAGCTAAAGCCATTTGGACCTTTCAAATTTGCATTTTGGATGGCTTATTTAGTGCGGGAAAGGTCAAGATGATAGCAAATAACTTAAACTTTTATTCATTCTTTTCCTTATGATTAGATTTAGGATAAGCCCCTTATCATCAAATTCGTCATTCTTCATCTGTTTGACCATATCTACGGTTACCTACGTGTCTTACACGTGTATATTTGTCATATACATATGCTTAGAAAATCATCAGCCACTCTTTGTCACCTTGTGATCCAGTTCTAATTAACTGCAACTTCCACAGCTGTTTCTCCGTTTTCTTTTTCATTTTCTATGTCATGTAGTACCCAGTTGCATTCTTGCACTACTCAAGTGAAAAACAAAGCTTGAGATTTGCAGAAAAGAAGATTGGTCATTTATTTGAGTCATTGGCCATTTATTTTTGGTGTTCATAGTAACTTTTTTATTGCAGTGATTCAAGAAGTGTTCTAATATATAAGTTCAAAATTTCTAACATAAAATTTTTTCCAACGTCCAGGGGGACAAAACAGGTTACACTTGCGGTCTTAGTAACGTAAAAACTACACAATAAATACAAGAAATAGAGAAAACTAAGGCCGGAAGTTTTGAACCCAAAACTCTACTCATCTCTAAATTATGACTATTTCACAGAACATATAACAACATATTTAAGTAGATTTAAAACTCATTTCAGAAAATCAGTTAAGAAACAAATCCAAGGAGGACTATGAGAAGTTTGTACAGATTTGAACGTCTTTTGCTAATTAAATAGAAGTGAACTTCAAAAATTGATCTCGCAGAAAATAAATATTGCTGAAGTTTAGACGAAAAAATAAAAGAAGATGACTGAAGAAAGAAGATGATGGTTTGGTGAAGGAGTAGTGAGAGGCTGAACCTGAAGCATTAACAAAGAAGATAGAAAAGGTGATTGTTCATTTTACCATGTTTTTGAGTCAAACTTTTCAAACTACTTTATGTTGTGTTGAGAACTCCACGCATCCAGCATCTTATGTAAAGAGTATAGTTTGTTGTTCTAACAATAATTTATCTGTCAAATCTCTAGAACTTGAGGGAAACAGGAAATAGCAAATAATTACAACAAGATAACGATGCTCTTGTATTAAGAAACATAATTTCCAATAATTAATATCGTTTACCCTTAAAATTGGATAACAATTAAATTTATAATTTGAGTTTAAGGATACGTGATTTCACTTAATACCAATTGAAATATATGAAGATTAACGATAGAATTATATAATAAAGTAAATCAAATCAGTATTTGAGTATAACTCAACCCTTGAGTTAGAGTATCCTCCAACTAATTGATGCATGGACAATAGAAACACAATAAGCTAAAGAACAAGAGTGTGAGCGAGAAAGAAAATTATATCGCTTTTGTATCAGTTGTGCTACAAATGGTTAGAACCCCCCTTTATATAGTAGAGGAATTCTATATATGGTACAACTCTAATTACAGAAGGAAAATCCCATGATTAACTAAACAACCGTTCTTGATTCGATTCGTTCCAAAATTTTCGCCATGATCTTCGACTAGTCGCGGATATCTCGCTTTTTCGTTATTACGCTATCTTCGGTATTGCTCGATGCCTGTCTCGTTTGGTCTCGATTGTTGTCGGCCTCAATCTTGGGAGGTGCCTCGAATCTCAATCTCGGTACCTTATTTTCGTGCCTCGATCCGATCTACTTTGGAGTCGTCCTTTGATGCAAACTCCCGGTCTCGATCAAACAGTAAAATCGAATGGGCCCGATTTTAACCGTATACAGATAGTCCCCTTATTATTTTGGAATATAATGACAAGAAACGAATTGAGCCTTTGATTTTCTACCTCAACCTGTCATGACGTCATCCTTGTGATGTAAGCGACGGAAGTGACTGAAACGTCCTGTCTGTATAGTTTTCTAGGAATTAAATGCGCGTCAGTCGATGGTCGACACTGCCAATATTAAACCGTCGTTGTGAAATTTATAAATAGCCCGTCTTTCCGCCATTTCAAACTTTTACTTTCAGATTCTTAATCTCCAAAGCTTTTTATATCTTCTAACTTCTCCATCTGCAAATCCACGATTTTCACTGCTACCATCTTCTCAAAACACAAAATATTATCATCTTCATCTACTTTTTAACTTCAAATCCATACAAAAATGGCAAAAACATCAAAGACTGTTCCTCAAAAGGAAAGCACTTCTTCATCGCGGCCGGTCAGCGACAAAACATCGGTGGAGCCACGACCTGAAGAGTGTGTTCCCGGGGGTGTGTTATCACTTCTGACTTCAAAACCGATAAAGTTTCGTCGATTCCTGGTCGATGCGAGCCAATGTCGAGATACATATGCTCGATAACTGAAGGGTACCTTAAGCAGGTAAGGAAAGACTGCAACTGGAAAGGCAAAGAAGGGGTGTAACGGACCCCGGAAGAAGACATTACCACCCATATCGAAGGATTTTTATGTGTTTACACTTACCCTTTCACGCTGGGCCCCCTCGACCCCGTCGTCGAATTTTTTGTCGTCAGTACCAAATAACCCTAGGCCAAATCCATCCTTCTTTTTGGCTAATTATTATTCTGCTCCGATTCTTCGTGAGCAAAGTCGAGGGGATGCCCCTCGACCACCTCATCAGGTTATACAGCCCATGTCTATATCGAGGTGAGTTAATAAAACTCCAACGTCGGGCCTCCAAAATGCTATTCTCGAGCATAGACGAGGACAATGATCGAGGCTGGATGGGCTGGTTCATTCGAGTGAGGACTTCCGACCTAATCCCGGCCGAGAAGATTCCATTTCCTAAGAAATGAAATATGAAGCATAGGTATAATCCCACTGTTAATTCTTATTTATTGTTTTGTCCCTTTGCTTCTTCATATCGATATCCTTTTCCTTGATGTAGCAGTCGCTTGGATGCCCGGTGCAATTCCTAACCTCAATAGGTGGGTTCGGGACCTGGCCTCGACCTTTACGTATGCTGAGCGTTCATGGCGCGATTTATCAAAGGGCTTATGGGAGGCCAAAACTCATGGTAAGCTCTTTTCCCATGTCTTTAATGATTCAGTCAAAATGTCTTTATTATACTTAACCAATTTTCTTGCGTGTAGGCCTGGGCAAAGATGCGGTCATGAGGCCCCCGTCTGGTGAGGAAGAAACTTCGGCCCCGGTTCCAAAACCAGCGAAGGACAACAAGAGAAAAAGGGCCTTGGTTTCCGAGGACACAAAATTCAAGACAAGGACGACTCGTAAGCATGGGAAGAACACCATCCCTCTGACCGAAGAATCTGTACGGCGTCTAAGGGATGAAGACAAAGAAGAAGAAAATGAC